TGTTTTGTGCGTAATATATATTTTTTTTCAAGGGGGAATATCTATGGGACACAGTAACCTAGATACATTAAAATAATAATTGCATTTAATAAATTAAAAAAAAATATTTATTAAAAAGAGTAACACAAAATTCTTATTAATATACGACAAAATATTAAGTTGAGTTTTAAGCGAGTTAATGTAAATAAACAAACGTGTATGAGGCTCCTTGTAGGCTATTAATACGACTTACGAAACTACTATACTATGTACTAAACTACTATATTATGTACTAGTAGTAGTAGTACATAATATAGTAGTAGTTTCGTCTTCGTCCGCGTGGAATTTAACTTTATTTTTCTAAAAGTAGCCTAAGTTACTCCTTATTACATCATAATCAAAACAAGTCCAAGAAAGAAAATCGGTCCAGCCATTTCAGAGATTAGCCGGAACAAACAGACAGACAGACAAAAATTGTAAAAATTATTATTTTGGTGTATGTACTGTATTTATATTCATATGCATATAGTAAAAAACGGTTATTTAAATATTACAAACAGACACTCCAGTTTTACTTATATATATAGTTTATAATCACCGGTTAGGACTTTAAAGTGCCAAGAGGTAAGAAACAAACAAGCATAAAAACATACCCTTCTTCTATTCTAAAAATCTTCTGTACTAACATCATACTTTGTTCAGTAGTGGACATCTTCCAGACTGAAATGATGATGATCTAAATATTTAGATTCATCATCGTCCATTATATATAACTCAAAGGTGACTGACATAGTGATCTATCAACGCACAGCCCAAACCACTGGACGGATCGGGCTGAAATTTGGTATGCAAGTAGATGTTATGACGTAGGCATCCACTAAGAGGATTTTGATAAATTCCACCCCTAAGGGGATAAAATTCCACCCCTAAGGGAATAAAGTTTGTATAAATAATAATAATAGTAATCACAGGTCAATTCACACAGCGCCATCTAGTCCCAAGTTAAGCTAGCTAAAGCTTGTGTTATGGGTACTAGATAACTGATACAAATAAATAGATTCTTTTTTCGTAAATACATACATATTATACATAGAAAATACCCAGACCGATACAGACAATCATACTCGTGAATACAAATGTTTGTGCCGTGCGAGGAATCGAACCCGCGACCATTGGACGTAAAGCGGTGTGCTGAACCGCGATACCACCGAGGTCGTCTTTTTAGATTTTCGACTGATTGAACTGAAATTAAAGATTGCAGCTACTATGATGAAGACGTTTTTTTTACACACGCTAATATTATAAATGTGAAAGTAACTCTGTCTGTCTGTCTGTCTCGCTTTCACACCAAAACTACTGAACCGATTTAAATGAAATTTGGTACACAGATAGTCTAGACCCTGAGAAAGGACATAGGTTACTTTTTAATGCGAAAATAGGGTTGTAAGGGGTTGAAATTGGGGATGAAAGATTGTATGGAAGAATCGTCAGTTTTGAAGCTAGAAGATTGAAACTTATTTTTGAGGCTGTTGATTAAATATAAATAAAGAGGTTGAAAGAGTAATGTATGGAAGTGTCGTCATTTTTGAAGCAAAAAGGATGAAACTTTTTCATTTGGCTTTTATTGGGTTAGGTCATTAAACATTTTTTTCATTACTTGGTCAAGGTCACTAATTTACGCGGACGAAGTCGCGGGTACAGCTAGTATTATATATTTGATATTTACCTGTTCGTATATATAATGATGTAACTCCGGCCGATTTCGGCCACGACGACTGACTTTAACTCTGGTTTTACCGTTGATGTGCTCGCATGTGACTTATGTAGCCTATTTTGTGGGTACAAATCCTCGCACATTGATATAGATAGATATACAATCTATCTATATGGATCATCCATCTACATGGAACCAACAACAGAGCTGGTGCGGCATGTGAAGCGGCTGAAAAAGCCAAAATATGAAAATACAGGGTGTTGGGTTTTGTAATAATGGCTTGATTTTAAAAACTCCCGCCCACCTGTACTCGAACAAACGTTGGTTCGAGAGTTTACGCATGCGGCCGCATGCGCACTGAGCGCCACTGTCGCTTGAACATCAAGATCGAGAACGCGGCTGCGAGTGCTTTGTCTCAATTATTAATTCAAATAGCAAATTAAAGTGAACAAAACTAAGGACTTCACTGTGTAAACTATTCAATAACATCAGACAGTGTTAGTGTGTGTATAAATACGAGTCCCGGGACATGCACCAGGTGGTGAAATAATTGGGTGAGTCGCCATCATTATCAAGCCATTTTTCAATATTTAAAAACTGAGCATATCGAACACAGGGGTTCCGAATATGAATTTGTCCCATTCGGTGTCGAGCCCTTGGTACGTGGGTTCCTAGCGCTATAAGACTTTTCAAAGAAATAACGAAAAGGTTAGTCGACATCACAGAAGATCGAAGAGCTGGCAGCTACCTTGTACAAAGAATTAGTCTAGCTATTCAAAGAGGGAACGCTGCCAGTATCTTCGGAACGTTTCCTAAAGGGACCCCTTTTAATAATATATTTTAGTCATCATATTTTTTTTTTTTAAGCATTTTATTTTAGGTTCTTAGTTGTACAATTAGGTTATGTAAATACTAGTTATATAATAATATCTATCTATATATGTATATCAATGTGCGAGGATATCTATCTATATAGATAATAGTTTTTATTTGTATCTTAGCTTTCTGTAGTTAGTTTTGGATTCTATCTCTAAGAGAAACTCCAAATATAGCTCTTTCTCTCTGGTGGACCAGTCAGGAATACAAATTCAAAGAAAACGTTTTTAAGCATTTTTATTTATTTATTTATTTAAACTTTAATGCACAAATATATAAATGTACATATGGCGAACTTAACACCTATGGGCGTTCACTACCAGTCAACCATAAGGCAAACTGAGAAGTTAGTAAGCGGCGCATTATTGTTTATAAACATTTACGTAGTAACTTTAAAAAAAAATTTATCAGTTTTTTAGTACCCATAACATAAGTTCTACCAAGCTTGGGTGGATTTTGTGTATTGTACAGGGTTATTTATTTAATTACACATAATATCTTAACTAACCCATTTTGCTTTGTGTCTTTTAATCCAAAAAGAAAAAATATTTCGAAATCGAAATATTTTTTCTTTTGGGATGTTTCCGTTACTAAATATTTACTTAGATATTTATATAATACTAGCTGTCCCGACAAAAGTTGTTTTGCCTTAAAATAAAAAAAAATTTAGGGGTGTACCCCTAACATTTAGGGGGATGAAAAATAGATGTTGGCCGATTCTCAGACCTACTCAATACGCTCACAAAAATTCATGAGAATCGGACAAGCCGTTTCGGAGGAGTATGGGAACGAATACTATGACACGACAATTTTATATATAATTTATATTTACATTATATTTAATATCGTTATTAGAATATTTAAAGTATATAATTAAATTCACTTACCAACGCAATTCCTTGGACCATTACCAAAAGGCAAATATACATCTTTAATATTCTTTTCGTTGTCTGGATGAAACCTCTGTGGCCGAAACTCTTCAGGATTATCCCAGTACTTAGGATCTCTGTGTAAAGCTTGAATTGGTATCATAACGTTATCATAATGTCTTTTTCTAGAACAAATCCTAATTCTTCAAAAACATCATTCTTAGAACACTGGAGACGTAGCCAAGAGGTGGAAATAACCGCATTGCTTCTTTAAACGCCATTTCCAAGTACATCATTTCTTTTAGTGCATCATAACATAGTTTGTTATCATAGATAATCTGTCTATCTATCTATATCAATGTGCGAGAATATCTATCTATATAGATAATAGCTTTTATTTGTATCTTAGTGCACACATATAGACTTAATTATAACATCACATAACAAGTATAATATAACAATTCAATAAGTGTAAACCTGCAAGTGTGTGCTACAGCAATACAAAACTGGTACATAGCTCATAAGAATCACTCAAGGAGCAAAAAACTGATTTTCAGCTATGTCCTCGAGGGTGAATAATAAACGTATCTATAAACTGAATATATAAAAGTATATATTTATTAAAACAATCAAATATTTAAATAGTAATAGGTGCATATTATTAATATCCAATTGTATATTTGTAGAAACTATACAGAGAAAGTATTTACCTTACAAATTTACAAATACTAAAAAAACATTACGCTCATCGCAAATAAATGGGATAAGGAAGAAGCAGATGATGATAACAAATACAAAAGAAACTTTCACAAATAGAAATAAGTTAACGGTGATTAAAATAAATATTCTTCACGAGCAGCGCCGCGGTAATCAGCTAGTATTAATTAATCAGTTTCGATTTGCGGAATCATTATGTAGTCAATATATCTTATAGATAAGTATTATAAAAAATCTTTCAGAAATAGAAATAAACGTTAAGACGACGCGTCGCAAATATTGACCTCAGAAACCTGAATTTTTCTCAGCAATTAAAAATCCTTCGGGGCTGATATTTAGATATTTCATTTTTCAGATCTTTGACATCATATTGACAGTTCTCATTACATGATTGATTAACTTTTGTAAAAGAGAAAAAAATCTCAAAGATTGGTCTTATAAAATATATTTTTAAGTTGTATAAGAAAATGGGATTTATTTAAGACTCGAATTTTCACATTACATTATACTAAATACATACTTAAATAGATTAATTCAGCTGTATATATACATATAACAACCTATAGTTTTTATTTTAAATAACATAAACTGTTTTTCCGCAAAAATCTCTTGCTCACAAGTTGTTTTGTATGAGAGTTAGCCGGAAGAATAACATTGTACACGAGCGGCGCCGCGGTAATCAGCTACGATGCAGATTAATCAGTTTCGATTTGCGGAATCCTAAATCACACACATTATGTAGTCAATACAGCTGATAGATAAGTACATAATATATGTTATATAAGACCGATAGAATTTATTGTACGCAGTTATATTTTGACAAGACGATAGAAAACACATTTGCAATGATAACTCTGTTTGTGATATTCATAACTATTGTAGCTTTATACTATTATAATACTAGAACATTCAAATATTGGGAAAAGAGAGGCGTCAAACATGACAAGCCAATTGTCTTCTTTGGGAACAACATTGAAGGATTCTTCATACGCAAAAGCAAAGTGCAACTCACAACGGAGTTGTACAACAAATATCCCAACGAGAAGGTAGTTGGTTTCTATAGAGGAACAAGGCCGGAGCTGATAATCAGAGACCCGGAACTAGTGAAACGTGTGCTCGTTACTGACTTTGGTAACTTTTTTTACCGTGGATTTGTGCCGAACAGGTATGTAATAGAACCGGTTCTGCGCAATTTGTTTTCAGCTGAAGGTGACTTGTGGAAGATGCTGAGAATCCGGATGAGCCCAACGTTCACGAGTGGTAAATTAAAAGCCATGTTCCCTTTGATCGTGGAGCGTGCTTTGAAACTGCAGTCGCGGATCGAAGAAGTTATTTCCACTGGGAAAAGTACGGATTCAAGAGAGTTGATGGCGAGGTATGCTACTGACTTCATTGGAGCCTGTGGTTTTGGATTAGACTCTGACAGTCTGAATGAAGAAAATTCTGATTTCCGAAAACTTGGACGTAAAATATTTGCGCCTGGTATAGTCGATGCTATTGTCGCCGTTTTAAAGGATATGTTCCCAGAATTATGTAAGGATCTGAAATTCTTTTATAGAATTGAAGCGGATGCACAAACTCTAGCACTGGACATTCAAAAGGCTAGAAATTATGAACCAATCGGAAGAAATGATTTTGTTGATATGATGCTTGCTATCAAAAAGCAAGGAGCCATAGAAATTGAGTCCATTGAAAAAACAAAACCAGACGGGACCTCAGAATTAGTATCAATACAGTTTGACGATGACATATTCATGGCACAGTTAATAGTTTTCTTCGCAGCTGGATTTGAAACGTCATCATCTTCTTCCAGTATGACGTTACATTATTTGTCTTATCATCCAGAAGAACAAGTGAAAGTTCACGAAGATATTGACAGAGTTTTAAATAAATATGATAACAAACTATGTTATGATGCACTAAAAGAAATGACATACTTGGAAATGGCGTTTAAAGAAGCAATGCGGTTATTTCCACCTCTTGGCTACGTCTCCAGACAGTGTTCTAAGAATTATGTTTTTGAAGAATTGGGTTTGATTTTAGAAAAAGACATTAACGTTATGATTCCAATTGAGGGTTTACAGAATGATCCTAAATACTGGGACAATCCTGAAGAGTTTCGGCCACAGAGGTTTCATCCAGACAACGAGAAGTACATTAAAGATGTATATTTGCCTTTCGGTATTGGTCCAAGGAATTGTGTCGGTATGTGAAAGAAATTATATTTGTTGCTTGATTATGTTGAAGAAGTCACTTATACTATCGCATAAAATTTATACAAAGATGAACTATTTATCTATAATAATATAGTTAAATATTTAGTTTATATAAAAAATGTTCACGATGTGCAAACATAATGTAAGCATAATTCTAAAATTTATAGTACCTATGACTTTTATATTACTTTTTATTTTATTCGACATTAGCAGTGCAGTTTTAGATAAATTACTCTTTTTTATATTACAATATATGCCATATATATGTAATAATCTATAATGCTGATATGCCTCTAGCATTGCCATTCCTAAGAACCATTACATCATGTTTCCATACTTTGAGTATACAATGGCCATTACTATTACTGTATTTCAAATTCAAATTCAAAATATCTTTATTCGTGTAAAGTCTATTACAGACTCTTGTGATATATCAAATCTATCGACAGTTCGGAATGATTTTGAGATGAGAAGAACTGATAAGAAATTCAGCTCGTATTCAATAGTATAATAGTAATAATATCCAACAACCTTTTTTATCCGATGATAATGGATTGGTACACCCGTCTACGCTAACAGTATACGCTATCGGAGCATCAGTGGAGGATGATAGGATGACTATAAGATCAGGTCCATTAGCATATCTTGAAAAAATCACCAGAAATCACGATGGTTTCCAGGGAGAGGGACCACGTGGATATCAACTTGGCTTACATTGCTAGCGATGGAGTAAAAAGTTCATATTTATAACAACCCGTTTCCTCCCGTTCAACTTCTTTCGTTTCAACGGCAACTAAATATATTTTCCCCAGAACGTTGCGATGACTTTTGCGTATTCTGTCACACCTCTTAAAATGTAAATGTAAATTGGAGTCCAGTCTCCGGAATTAGCCTTTCATTTGGACCGTTGTGCGTGTAGAGCCAGACTACTAAAGTAGCCAGCCAATCTCTTCCCAAACGCGCAGTCTCCTGATATCTTCACAGACTTCACGGAGTGACCTCACCGTTCCGATGATTTATTTTCGTTGTGTGGCCACTGCAAGCACTCCAGGATTACTTGAACCACCATTTCTTCAGCTTCAAAGCAGCCACGACAAAGGGGACTGTCTGTAGCATATATTGTGTAGAAGTGTTTGTTTAAGGGACAATGGCCCGTTATTATGGCCCATCATTATTGTAAGGTTATGTCTATCTAGATTCAGTAGGCGTTTTGTTAGTCGATGGTTTGTTTTTGGAATTGCCACTTTTGATTGTTTGCAATCAGTGGCTAGATTCCATCTTTGGTTTTGTGTCTCGGTGGATCTCTGGCGAATCCAGGTGCGAAATTGTGATAAGGGTATTGGTAAAAACGGGAGGGAGCCTGCAACTACCATTCAGATGTTAGGCACAAAGGACAGGTCAATAGATGTGCCATAGTCTGGCATGGCGTTACTAACAACGTATTAATAAATGTTTCTTCCTTTAAAATTACAACAATAACCTACATTTACTCGTTGATAACCTACGTCATCTAGCGTTTTAACCTTAACACCGCTTTCCGATGTTCGTAGGTTCGATTCCGTGCACTGTGTAAACATTTGTGTTCATGAGTATGTTTGTTTGCATCCGTCTGGTTTTTTTCTATATCTATTATGAATGTATTTATATCTATTGTTTATCAGTGTACAGAATATCAGCGCTGCAGATTTATCTGTAGCTTTATGCTGAGTTGGTTACCTATTCACCTTTGCGGCACATAAAGCTGCCTCCATTTCTTTTATTTGTACACTAGCTGTACCCGCGACTTCGTCCGCGTGGAATTTAACAAAAAGTACATTAGGAGAATGTTTCTAAAATAAAAGTTAGGCTACTTTTATTTTAGAATAATTCTCCTAATTAACTTCGTTACTCCTTATTACATCAGCTACCTGTCAATAAAAGTTTCGTGAAAATCGGTCCAGCCATTTCAGAGATAGGCCGGAACAAACAGACAGACAGACAGACAGACAAAAATTGTAAAAAATGTTATTTTGTTGTATGTACCGTATTTATATTCATATGCATGTAGTAAAAAACGTTTATTTCAATATTACAAACAGACACTCCAATTTTATTTATATATACGTATAGATCATTGTTTTCTGTACCTCAATTATGTGTTGGTAATTGGTAAATACAGAATCTATCTACTCATATAAGATCTACATGTTTTACATTTGCAGGAAGTCGTCTTGGTCTCATACAAGCTATGGCCGGCCTGACTGCAGTCCTGTCCAAGTTCAGAGTGGAACCAGCCCCAGACTCTGTATATCACCCTGTGATAAACCCAAGGTCTGAAATAGCCCAGGGTATAGTCGGAGGTTTACCACTTATGTTCTATGAAAGAAACTGAAATAATAAGTATCTATAAGCTTGAAATATGCAGTTTTATTATCCTACTGACAAACTTTCTCGACTAACATACTCACAATCTATCGCGTTTATTATAGTAAGAAAGATAGGACCAAGATCCTTGGCACTGAGACATGGCATCTTACCTCATAGGAATGACAACGCATTAGTGGTAGCAAGGACATGAAATAGAAAAATAAATAGAAACAGAAACAGAGACAGAAACAGAAATACAAATAATATTTCTTCAAATAAACTTAGTACAATAACGTTTGAATAGTCACATTTTTTGATTCAATCACTCATTAGGAATGCAGACTCATCACAAGAAGAACGAGCAAGAAACTTGCGTGTTACTTAACAGTATGTTCATATATAAAGACGACGACGACGGTAAGGGGTGACCCCTTACCGTCAACTTGTTTGTCATTTGAATTTGGTATATATATATTATTTTATATATAAAATTCTCGTGTCACAGTTTTCGTTCCCATACTCCTCCGAAACGGCTTGACCGATTCTCATGAAATTTTGTGAGCGTATTGAGTAGGTCTGAGAATCGGCCAACATCTATTTTTCATCCCCCTAAATGTTAGGGGTAGTCCACCCATAATTTTTTTTTTATTTTAAGGCAAAACAACGTTTGCCGGGACAGCTAGTACATATATAAAAATGAATTGCTGTTCGTTAGTCTCGCCAAAATTCGAGAACGACTGAACCAATTTGGCTAATTTTAGTCTTCAAATATTCGTGGAAGTAGAACGTATCGTGTATATTTATGCATATATACGTACATATAATAATAAAATTAATTTTATAAAAAAAAAAAGATACAATATTTTGATAACGTAGTGCGTCGCCTACAATTCTGCCTCCTTAGTGCTAACTAGTTAGCACTACTAACACTAGCTGGTGATAGTAAGGCGACGCGAGTGACTGGTCGACGCAGCAGTCCCGCCCGGGTGCGTACGTCTACGACGCGTACGCGGCCGTCCTCACCTGTATGACTTGAGCTGACCACTCCATGACGCCAGCATCCACGATCCAGTTTAGGGTCCACTACTACTACGTAATCACCTACCTGCAATGATCTCGACTCCTCCATCCATTTTTGTCGAGGTAGTAACGTAGGCAGATATTCCTTTATCCAACGACTCCAGAACATATCCGTAATACGTTGCGCTATACGCCAACGCTTTCGTAAACAAAGGTCAGAATCATTGAAAAGTCCATAAGTGGGACCGCTGGATGGCGTACCAATTAAAAAATGATTTGGGGTTAAAGCCTCTGGATAGTCGGGATCCAGAGAGACGTGTGTTATAGGTCGACTGTTAACCAAAGCCTCAACCTCTGTTAAGATAGTGGCTAGTGTGTCAGGATGAGGGGCTCTCTCTTTGAGAGTTACTTTAAGCGCTGTCTTAACAGTACGTATCATTCGCTCCCAAGCGCCTCCCATTTCTGGAGCGCCTGGGGGAATGAAACGCCATTCAACACCTCGTATTGTGCCATCATCACATAACAATTTAGTATTTAATTCTGCAATACTACGTTTAAGTTCAGAGTCGGCGCCCCTTAAATTAGTTCCGTTATCTGAGTAGATAACTAGAGGTAAACCCCGCCGGGCTCCCATACGACGTAAAGCCATTATTGCTGAATCACTGGACAGATCTTCAGTCAATTCCATGTGAATTGCACGTACTGTCAAGCATGTGAAGAGCATGCAATATCTCTTCTGCCTCCTGCGACCGACAGTGACTTCTATAGGTCCAAAAAAATCAACGCCAGTGTAACTAAACGGCCTCCTATTATGTTGTAGTCTCGCCGCTGGCAAATCAGCCATCCGCTGAGGCTGCGGTGCGGCGCGACGTGACCGACAGGTGAGGCACTGGGTAGACACAGTACGAACTGTTGGTCTCAATTTAAGTATCCAGTACTGTTGTCGTAACTGGTTTACAACGAGTTCATTAGAACCATGCATAGCTTCTTTATGGTGGTGGTAGACCAGGAGCCGAGTAATTCTATGTCCGCCATCAAGTATTGCAGGTCTCAACGTAGACAGTTCTACTCCTGCCACTCTATCGATGCGACCACCGACACGCAGTACTCCTGTCTCATCGAGATAAGGACTAAGTTTTAATAATCGACTATTACGCATTATAGGTTTATTCTGTTGTAAACAAGATATTTCAACAGAGAAACTGTCCTGCTGACATTTTTTAATTAATAAAATTTCAGCTCTTTTCATTAAAGAAACATCAAACTGAATGTTTTTACGCCGACATTTGTTAATAAATAATAACACGCGGGCGGTGGCTCGCAATAATGTGATCCAATTCGAGATATTATCTTCGCTAGGCAAAGATAATTCTGAACTGTACATAACCACATTAATTGATCGTTCTTCACAAGTCACATCTTGCGATGTCTTGGAGAACTTACGATCTTTAGGCCACTCACTCTCAGGTCGCCGTAGAAAGGCAGGACCCTGGAACCACGGGTCTGAGTATGACAGTGGTGATGCATCATCTCGTGTAGCTACATCGGCTACGTTAGCATCAGACGACACATGACGCCACTCACAGTTTTTCGTCAGCTCATCTATCTCACCGAGTCGATGAGCGACAAAAGGTTTATAATTACGCGGATCGCTACGGATCCATTGTAAAACAGTACTAGAATCTGTCCAAAAGTAACGCTTTGCTGGTTTAAAATCCTTATGATCGGTCTCAATAATATTTGCAAGGCGGGCGGCTATTACCGCTCCCTGTAATTCAAGCCTCGGTATTGAAATAGGACGGAGTGGACTCACTCTGCTTTTACTACCAACGAAACTAACTTGAACACAACAATCCGACCGAATCAATCGCCAATAAGATACGGCAGCGTATGCCTTTGTTGAAGCATCACAAAAAGTGTGGAGTTGTATGTCTACAAAATTATTATTAATACATGTAATATTCGGTAATTCATTATAGCAAAAAGTCCACTCATTACCATTAATATAACACCTAGGTATACGTAAAGAATCTAAGTTCTTTAGTTCACATAACCAACTAGTAAACTGAACAAACTCTGTTGGTTGGATGTGGCATTTCCAGTCGACACCACTACGATGTACACTTTGAAATAATATTTTACCTTTAATTATACAAGGAGCAAGAAAACCATGAATATCATAAACAGACATTAATATACTAAGCATTTGAGATTTCGTAGGTGGCTCCGTGCCATTTATTATGTTTTGCGGAATACGGTTGAATGATATTTTAAAGGCAAATGCATCGTCATTAGGATACCACATCAAACCGAGAGTGCGCTCAGTTGTATTATTAGCTCCGTGTTTAAAATCAACAGCAGACTGAGTGAGCGCTCGATGCGGTATTGTGTTCAAAACCGGTTTGCTATTACTCGACCAGCGGCCTATCTCGAATCCGCCGTAACTATGTATTTCCGTAATTTCACGAACTAATTTAATTGCTTTTTCTTCGCTGTCACACGAGTACAAACAGTCATCCATGTAATGATTGTTAATAATAACATCTACCGCTTCCGGATACAAATCCTCATATTTAAGCGCATTTTTATTTTTTATATGTTGCGCAATGAATGGAGAACAAGTTGCACCAAAAACTAAACTTTGCATGACACATATTTTTAACGGGGACTTGTCGTCTTCCCGCCATAAAAACCTAAATAAGTGTTGATCTTCAGCTCTAATACGTATACGTAAAAACATGTCCTTTATATCGCCTACTATAACATATTTATGTTCGCGGAATCGCAACATAATACCTAGTAATGAGTTATACAAATCGGGTCCAGTAAGTAAGAAGTCATTTAAACACAAGCCGTTGACCTTACCGGCACCGTCAAACACTAACCTCAGCTTACTGGGTTTGTTCGGATTTAGCACGCCAAAATGACAGAGATACCATATACGATTACCTACAAGTTCATTTTCCTTTAAAACTCGAGCATAACCATTATCAAACAACTTGTGCATCTCTGTTTTATACCTATCAGCGTACGCGCTGTCCGACTTAAATTTTCTCAATAACCCGTTCAAGCGTGATAGTGCATAGTTGTAACTATCAGGTATACATAAAACATCCTTAATGAATGGCAGTCCGACCTCCCACCTGTTACCTATGTTTCGCGCGGTCTGATCTAATATATTAACCGCTCTTAAATCGGCCGTATTCTCACGGCGTAAGGTTGATATTCCTATGCAGTCCAGTTCAAATGAATTTTTAACTAAGTTGTTTAATATAGTAATTTCACTTACCTCGTCGTTGTGTGTAACGTGGAAGCTGTGCCCCTGTGTGAGTGATGAGTTCGTGCGACCATAACTACCATGTATCGACCAGCCTAAGCGACAACGCGTTGCATAGGGTTCATATTTATTACCGTGTAATATTTCTAACGGCGCTAAAAGAAAATAATTATCTTCACCTATTAACAGACGAGGCACCACGTTCTCAGTACATACAAATTGTTTTACAGATGATAAATAATCACAGTGAATATTATTTATTACAGACAAATTTTGCATAGGTAATTTTAGTTTAGATACATTACGTAAAGTTATATTATAGTTACACTTATTATAGTTACAATTATCATAGCCAGAAATATTTAAACAGACTTTAGGAGCATCAGACTGGTATACTTCTAAACCAAAAGCATCAATTAATTTAATAGAACTAGAACTTAAACTTTTAAGACCAAGTTCATTTACTAAGCCGGAATCGATCATCGATATCGAAGCACCGTCATCTAATAAGGCATAAGTACTCACTGTACCGTTGGGTCCACTTAACTTCACTTTAACTACTTTGAGTATCACATCACATGACGTCACTGTGGGGGAGCGACCGCGCCCCGGTAGCCCGGGCGCAGTCCCGTCGGTAGCGGAGTTCACATAGGCTACAGTCGCGTCGGTACTCGATGATTCATGTTGTGATGATGTCGCCATAGTGGTCACGGGCTGTGTGTCTGTATGGA